CTTAATTAAAGGTTGCACACGGTTCCCATCTTGTGGCCCTCGTCTCTCTTGTTAGTTCTATCCTCCCTGTTCAGGTATCTCTCCCCTGCTCTGCATGCAGCTTGTTCTTCGAGCCCACAGCACGGGGGTTGGTGCTGGAACTTTCCTTTAGCACAGGGGGTCAGGGCCTCCTCTGCACAGTGAACTGATCTGGGGAGCTTTAAAACTTGTCCATGCCTGGGTCACATCCCCAGAGGTCCAGCTACAATGTGACCTGGCCCCGAGGGTTTTCAAAGCGCCCAAGGCAGCTGTGAAGTGCAGCCATGGTCGGGAAGGACTCTCTGAGGATGTCTTGGGAATCGCCTTTATTGCCTTTTCCTTGGGTGTTCGCCGATCTCTGGATCTCCTTGGCTCATGCTTTCATGCTCTGTCCCTTCGTTTTGATGTAACACCTTGTCTAAAAGTTTTGCTGCTGAAGACGCAGGGAAGACAAATGTGTTCAGGCCCATCTGTGTCGGATGCTATTTTTATCCACTCCATCCCTCACCACTTTGCTTGCAGTTCCAAACTAGAAAGAAGTTTGTTTCTGGGCTTTGATGGTCCTTCTCAATACTGTCTCCTGAGAAATCCAAGGGCATCTGGATTCTGGGTCCTATAGGAGCTTTTTAAACCTGCTTTCCCTGGGAATAATTTAACATCCTCCTTTCTTCTCCTGATATTCTGTAATGGTGTGACTGAGTGTGAAGGGTTTTATTATTCATTTTCAATTTGGAAACTCATTTCTAGTCCTAGATAACTTTCTAGTGTTATTTTCTTTTTATTCATTCCCCTTCATTTTCTCCTTATAGGATTCCCATTTCTCTAATCCCAGGCCACCTGGATTTATTTTCTAACTTTTTTTTCTTTTAAGCATTTTTTTCCTCCTTGAATTTATCTTCCAGTACTTTTAACTCCTGCCTGCTGACACATTTTCTTGACTTTATCCTCCAAGTGTTTTACAGATTTGATTGTTTTTGTGGAGAAGGGGACTCTTTTTCATTTCCTAGGAATATCTCTCCAATGCTTTCAAAAGAATGCAATGCCTTTATCTTTTGATAAACAGGCAACAGTACAGGAGATACGTGAAAACTCCGCGGAGGGCATCAGCATGCAGGATTCTGTGCAGCCTTTACCTGCACACCATTGCCACACACACATACATGCATGGTGCATGTATCTGCCTGCTTTGATTTTTTTTTCCCCAGAGTATACACTTTGGATTTGCTGTTAGGGTTGAGAGAATTAGCACTTCAATTTTCAGAGCAAGGGCAGGCACATGGGGAAAAGGGTTATTTGGACTTTCTAATAATTTCTTTTCTTTCGTCTTCCTGTGACCCATCTGGCTTCCCAGATAGCTGGTGCATCCTATTATGCCCTCCTGCAGCTCTAAAGAAAAAAAAAATAAAGCAAGGGGGCTGTCTGTCTTGTGTTTTCAATGTAAAATGTCTCCCGTAGGCTCATGTGTTTAAACACTTGATCCCCAGCTGCTGATAGTGTTTGGGGAGGTCATGGAACCTTTAGTCCAGTGGTTCTCAATTTGTGGGTCACAACTCCCCTTTCACAGGGGTCAGATATCAGATATCCTGCATGTCAGATATTTACATTTCAACTCATAGCAGTAGTGAAATTACAGTTATGAAGTAGCAGAGAGATAATTTTATGATTGAGGGTCACTATAACATGAAGGACCATGTTAAAGGGTCAAGGCAGTAGGATGGTTGAGAACCACTGCTTTAGAAGGTTGATTTCACTGTAGGAGGTGAATAGCTGGGGGCAAGCCTTGAGGTTTTACAGCCTGCCCCTTCTCTGTTCTCTTTAGAAGAGTTCGGTCTAGAGTCTCTTCCTGACTGTGTAATGTGACAGCTGGGTTCCTGCTCAGGCCACTTTACCTTCTCACCAGGGAGGAATGGGTCCCCTTAAACTGTAAGCCTGAGTAAACTCTTCCTCCTTTCAATGACCTCATCTGGCACAGGCACGTTGTCACAACAAAGAGAAGAGTAATTAGTCTACTCAGTGCTGTCCTCTGTGCCTTGCCAGATTTCCTTGTATTGCTCATCCATCCTCTTCTTGTTTTACTTTTTGTCTCTTTATCAGTTTGACTTGATAGATTTCCAGAAGATGGGTCAAGACATGGTCATAGGAATGGACTTACTTTGACCTTGTAACAACATGGCTTTTAATCTTAAGATGGAGTCAGGATGGTCAATCATACATAGGCAATGCTCTTATAACCACTCAGTCAACTCTCCAAACCCAACTTCTCTTGGGTTTGGTTTGAACCTGTGCAGGTCTTGTACATGCTGTCTCAGTCTTTGTGAGTTCATATGTGAACCAGCCCTGCTGTGTCTTGCTGATACTGTTTCCTAGAGTGGTTTACCACCTCTGGCTTGGACAATCCTTCTGTTTCCCTTTCCATGTAGACAGATCCCTGAGCCTTGAGGGGTCAGGCTTTGATGAAGACATCCCACTTAGAACTGAATCCTAGCTGACACCGTATGATTTGACATTTGTTCATAAGATGGTATTTTCCTTTCTTCTTCTTTTTTTTTTTTCTGAATCTCTCTTTTTTTTAAGTTGAACATGATTTTTTTATTGATTCTTTGGAAATTTCATACCATGCACCCTAGTTCATCTACAAGTCCCCCCAAATCCTCCCTTTACTCTTGCAGCACCCCAAAAATAAAATTAAAAAATTAAACCAAACCAAAACAGAGCAATCAATAAACCAAATAAACGAAACAAGAACAAACCAAACCAAAAATAACAACGAAAAGTTCCCCAAACCTGTTCCCTTTTCCTTCTTTCCTGCCTCTTCAACACCTCTTCATTTGTCCTGGGGGCATTGGGAATGGTGTGTCATGTAGTATATAACCTTTTGTCAAATCAGCTTTACTAGCAAATGCTCATTGCAGTAAGCCACTGGTCTGGTTCAAAGTCTCTGGTTTTTGGTATACCCTCACCACTGGGTCATCACTGAAATTCATTCCTCTGTGGGATATCCTGTGGTTGCCCCAAGTCAGAGATCCTGTTGGTTTCATTCCAGAGGACCAGTCTCTTCACAAGCTTCAGCAGGTCCTAGATGGGGTAGATGTTAGTTAGGGTGGGCCTCCAAAGCCTGGCTGTGATCTTGGGTAGTAGCCGAGCTTGGCAGTCTAGGCCACTGGGGCCACCCACCTCAGGTGAGGGGGTAGGGTCAGCTCCCCTATACCCATGCCCTCAGGGTTGGTTCACTGTCACCTGTTTTGAGGAATGGGACCATCCCTCCCAAGTGCAGGGACCAGCTAGCTCTCCTCTGAGGGTCAGGACCCTTGTGCTAATGTGTCTAATGGGAGGCAGAGCCATCTGTCCCAGGGCCAGCTCAGCATTTCCCTCTGGTTTCATCGTGCATGGTTCCTATGGTCCCCTGGTGATACAGGCCTTAGACATCAACACAGACTCCAGCTGCAGCTGGACCATAGACTCAGACATAGCCTTTGGCAGCAGCTCAGGCCCAGATGAGACAGCCTGGCTCTGGCCAGAAGCACTGGACACTCAGATCAGAATGGCTCTGGCAGCAGCATGACCTCCCAAACACTGAGATTGCTGCCCCAACCTGCCCTTCTATGCGACCTTTGGTGGCAATATGGGACTGGGACTTCAGTAAAACCCCAGCTGCTGTGGTGGGACCACAAGAATACCCAGACATGGTCCTTGGCAGCAGCCAGATCTGGATGTCACCCTTGTTCCAGGTGGCAGTTCAGGCCACTCAGATCATCACAGCCCTAGTGGCACCAACGTGGCTCCAGACCTCTGATGTCTGCACAACCTTCCATGGTAACAGGGGTCTTGAACATCAGCACAGAACCTGCAGTAGGGCCAAGGACCCAGACATAGCCTCCAGCTGCAGCCCTAGACTGGACATCACCATAGCACTGGGTAGTTAGTAGTACTTGCCTCTCAGATCTGTGTGTGCAGGCTGCAGCATGGCCCTTGGGCACCCACATGGTTCCAGGTAGCTTATCAGACCCCAAGAAACCACATGGTTTTTGGTTGTAACAGAAACCACAGATGTTTACTTAGACCCTAGCTGCTATAGGGCCACAGACCCAGACATGTCTCTTAGCAGCAGCCCCAAGCCCGGACAACACTAGGGCCCCAGGTGGCAGCATAAGCCAGACCAGCATGGCTTTGGTGACAGTACAGTCCTCTGACACAAACAAGGCCACAGGTTATGGCCTAGACCCCAGGTTTCTGTGTGGCCTTTGGTAGCAACCTGGGCTATGGACTTCAACACAGACCCTTGCTGCAGTAGGACTACAGAACTAGACATGATCCTTTATAGCAGCCCAAATATGGGCTGCTATCCCCATGGCCCCAGATGAAGGCCACCCAGATAGGCATAGTGCCAGTGACAATATGGCCAATGGATACCAACATGGCCCCAGGTGGTTGTCCACAGCCCTGGAATCAGCATGACCTTTCATGGCAACAGAAGTCATAGACACCAGAGACGGCTCAGCCATTAAAGACTAGGCTCACAATGAAAAATATTATCCATTCTTAATCTGTTTCCTATTCACCCTTTGAAATACAGTTTAGAATCACCCAGTTGGAGATGTGTTTTTGACCCTTTTGATTAATTGTCATCTTTTCTAGCTTCATCTGTTAGGACAGTTATTATGAATCAGTACTGTAAGCATTGTCTCCCTGACTTCCACACATGGTTATTAAAGTCTGAAGTTTGGGATCTTGTTTTGATTCAAGGCTTGCACATAGGAGGCACAGGTATTTTGATGAATGAATGCATTGTAAGTACAGCTTTGAGAAAAATGGGTCACGGTGTGCTTTGCCTTAGTGACAAAACTCCAGTGTCAATTATATGTCAAGTGAATATTTAATGCCATAAAAATTATATGAATGCAATGATTTAGACTTGGCTAGTATAAAGAACTAAGAAAAAATGGAAAATAAAATGTATCTTCTAATGTTATGTTTTTGAACAGAAACTTCCAGTCCTGCCTAAAGATCCCAGTTGGGTAAGTATGAATTAGGGTTGCATGTGACTTTGAGCTCTCCATAGCTTAAGGTACCATGTGACTCCTCAGTTCTTATAGCCGTTATTATGTCACCTCATATGCACAATAAGCATCTTATGTCTAAATTAAAAAATAAGACTCATATTCTGATAAAGAACAATGAGATAAACTTATGAAGAAAGTAGTCAAGTTGAATTCATGTTCCTTGTTGAAGCCATAGTATTTACTCCCTTGCTCCCTGGGTCTGATGTAGCACATTTGTGATTAAGATTAGCTTTCTCTAATAGAAGTGGAAAGGGCATGAGAGAGCCACTACCCACCTGCTGTGGCTTATCACAACTCCACTGTCTGAGGATAGAGACAAGAGCAAGTCATGGTGTGTAGGCTGCTTGTGCGATGAGGCAGGCTGTGGATATATGAGGAATTTCTGGACACACGGATCTCTTCTAGTCTTCCCACTGATGCTTCTGTATGATGTAATTCTGAAAGCTTCTTTCCATCCCTGGAGAGTGGTTCTTGCTGGTAGATGGTAGGAGATGGATTTCTATAGTTATGAATGGAGGGATGATCTAAGAAGTACTTGAGAAAAATTATAGTATGGGAAGAGGGGGAGCCAGACTACATGAGCTAGCCAGATTACTAGTTAAGAGAATGAGGCCTGAAATGTGTGGCTTTCTCACACTCACAGCCAGGAGTTTCACAAGACTCGTGGAGTTTCTGGAGCACTAGGTTATCAGGTTGTGCTTTCTGCCTTTTGGAGGCTGGGGCTATAAGTTTAGTGTGAAGTAGAAAAAGTCCTTGGCACTTGCACAGAATATAGATAGTCTGGGCTCATGATGGGGTTCACGCCCAGATAAACAGGTCGTAATTTGAAAATATGGCAAGTCAGAATGTGTATAATGTATCTAACCCAGTCTGGCTTAGCATCACCGCAGACTGCAGAGTGTCAGTTGTTTATCCTAGGGATTGCACGGCTGAACGGATATATGGCTTGCTCCCACTACCAAGCGTCCAGAGCTAATGTGTTGCTACATATCACCAGCCTGTGAGAAGATCAAAACTGCATGCACATCACTTTTGCACAACCATAAAGTTGAAAAAAAAACCCTCACAAGTGAACCATCATAAGTCAGGGACCATTACTACTGGAAATCTCATACATTTCATAATAGTTGGTCCACAGGCCACTGGGTTGGGCTATGACAGTGAGTCGGAAAGACAACAGGACATCCTGTTGAAGGTGTTGGCTCTCCCAAAGCTCTTATGGTCCAGAAAAGGCTTTTCATCTCCTCACAAGAACAGAATTGTGCATCAGGTACTGATAAAAGCTTAGAAAGAAATACATCTTTGCAGTTACATATAATCAATCACAAATTGACAGAGTTTAATAGGGTGCCACAAATGGGCAGTGGCTATGGCAGTAATTCTAACGCCAGTGCCATTTCTGCTTGACTGTGGGAGGGACCACTGAGCCGGTTGGTATAATCTTGAAAATATCCTTAGTTTTCCACCAGAAGGGATGAATTATGTCGGTTATCTCTGAAGAGAAATTTTTACAGCTTAATTAAACAAACATTTAAATCATCCTTTAAAATGTGCTGGATGATTGTGCTTACACTAGCCTTCTTTTTAGATATCCCAGGGGATGTCTTCAGATGTATGCATAAATCACTCAATAAGCAAGTGTGCATGGAAAGCTTAGTGTATGCTTCACATGGAGTGGAGTTATTAACAACGGTCCCTTGGTAGGAAGATGGATGCGCTGAGTTGATGCCTCTCTGCTTGTACCTTTACAGGCCAGTAGCCAAACATACAAGGATTCTCTATGGAAGGAAGACAACCAAACATTGCAAAAGACCGGGGATGGACAACACCAGAAGGTATTTACAAGGCCTTCCTTGTTATTGCAGATTGCTTCAACTACTGGGAGATTTTGAAGGCTTGGTGCATAGACATGTTTAGAGTCTCTTATTTTTTTTTTCCTTTTTTTAAAATTGAAATTTGGAACAAGCTTTTCTTACATGTCAATCCCAGTTCCCTCTCCCTCCCCTCTTCCCCTGCCCCCCTTGCAACCTCACAACCCATCCCCTTTCTGCTCCCCAGGAAGGGTGAGGCCTTCCATAGGGGGTCTCTTAAAAGGACATTGGAAAAACTGACAGCACATTGCAAACAAAAGAAGAATTCTGGGTTTGGTCTGTGGAGGTGGCTCCTTCCAGCCAAAAATTTTACGTTCATAGCCGTACAGTGGGTTGTACTGAGTTGGTCACAGTTGGTGCTGGCAGTTCACAGAGAAGACACACACACACACACACACACACACACACACACACACACACGAACACAAAACACAACCTACCCACATATTAGCCAAGGATGGTTGAAGTTACAGATGGCATCCAGAAAAGGTTCCCATACTTTGAGTGACTCAGGCTTTATGGAACTGGTGTTAAATGTCTGTATGTACATGTGTACAGGTGCAGAGCATTCTACACACTTGGAGCAACAGAAACCAGTGAGGTGAATACAGACTCTCCCAACTTCTTAATGGCTGGGTTTCACCACTTCAGACTTCTAGTCTGGGAACTACAACTATTCAGGGTTGTGATCGGATGGCCATGTATGCTTTTGATAGGCAGGCATATAGGCAAGGAGCATGTAGGCAATGAAAAGGAGGCAGAGATGTAAAGCTTTGTGCCTTCAATTTGATAGGCATTCAGGGCAGTGTGGAAGCCAGTGCTGCAGGGAAACAGATGCAAAGATGCGGATTGCCGTGCAGTCCATCACGGTGCTGACTGCCTACTCTTCTGTCTCATCCCTGGTTTGTCTAGGGGATTCCATTCTATTTTGCAAGGCCCTTGTGCCAGAAAATGGAGGGGCCATGCCAGGCCAAGGATTCAGTCCTAGTTATGTCGCTGTCCAGGGGATTTCCATTCTCCTTGATTGTGATTTGTTTTCCCCATGATCATAGGCTGCAGGTTTGGGCAATGAGTCTAAGGGAGGTTGCCTTTCTGATTTAAAATAGGCCGTCCTTCTCATTAATTACCTTTCAAGTACATTTCCCTTTTGTCCTTCCATATTTTATCTAATATTTCCTGTACCTCATCGTTCTTAGCGTTTATGTGGCATTTTCCTGTCACTTAGTTTTTGCCCCTCTGTGTCACTGGTTTAAAATATACTTCCAGTGCTAAAAGTGGCTGGTTTTCTCTCACCTGTCTTCATGGTCTCTCTTTCATTTGTGGTTGGATATGTCCTCGTTTTCCCTGGTTGGTAGTTCATTTGCACATATTTGTACTCTTGCCACGTAACTGACGTTTCATTCACAGTATTTTCTTTATTTTATGATCTCTGATTGCATTTTCTCTGTTGTGTTTATTAATCATCTCTCTCCCATCCCCTCCCATATTATGAGAAGATTTACAGTGCTTCTATTTCTGTTTTTAATCTTGCTGCCCTGCCTCTGCTTGTCTCTTCAGATCTGAAAATGCATGCATCTCTCTGGCTTTCTATCTATGTTTATTCCCCTGTTCCGATGCTGCTCACCATTCCCGGGGCATCTATCAAATAGATCCAGCCATGCAGGATCGGCTCCCCATACATCTCCATTGTTTCATTTGCTCCTTCTCTTTGCATCTCATTCTGAGGAAGGTACTGGATCATCCCACTGACTACAGTTTTTCAGAACCCTCTGCACAGTGCTTATTTGACACATGCATTGAATTCATTTGCTTCCCAAAACTGCTCATTTGCTTTATTGTAGCAATGGTCTGTTTTATGAGTGTAATAGTCTCATCTCTCCACTGAGGAGGACTATCCAAATATTAAAGTTTTCTACTTCATATAACAACTGTATTTACTGTTTTTATCTCCCATGCATTTGTTTATTAATGTTTGTTGATGCTTATGTTCATCTGGATGGGAGATAAGCCACCACTGTCCTTATGTGTGGCTGCTTGTTCTGTGGTCACAAGTACCTGCCATTCTGTTTCTCTGGGCTCATTCTCTCTTCCTCTGTTTGGTGATGGCTTGAAGAAAGAAGTCAACACCAAAATGCCGTGGATGCTGTAGGCAGCTGGTAGCCTCAGTGGAGACTTCAGTATTCTCTCATGAAGGACCTATGAAAGCACACTTAGCTCAGTTCCAGGGTATTCTGCTCATGTAGCCCTCCCTGTAACTTACCCTGTCCTTTCTTATCTTGTTGGCCTTTCTTATTATCTCTGATAGGTTGATTGTACTTCCTGAGCTTTGTATGGTTATTAGTTTAGTTTAGAAAGTAAAAAAGGCATCAAAGAAAACCAGAAGGCACTCAAACAATTAGGAGACAAAGTGGAAGCCATAAAAAAAGTAGTATTGCTTGCTTTTTGTGGAAAATGCATGCAGAGCTGTGAGCAGAGAATGGAAATTATAACTGTTAAACCCATTTAATATTTTAAGAAAAGAAGAAAAGTCATGAATTATGTACCAAGGAATTTACAGAAGAAACACTAAGTGAAACTAAAGGAAGTAATTAAGATAAGAACAGAAATTAATAACTTAATAATTAGAAAACTGACGAGAAAACTGTTTAGAAGCTCCAGCCATGCATTCTGTGATAAAGTCAATGGGATGAAGGAATCTGCAGCAAGCACGATTTCGAAGAGATTAAATGAACAAACACAAACCTACAACAGTAGAGCTAGGTCCAGAGATGTAGCTGTGGGAGGATTTGCTCCAGTTGCTGCAGCTAAGGCTGTGCTAATAAGTTGAAAATCTACATGTAGTGAATGACTTTCTGGAAAAACATAAAATGACAAAGAGCTAAAAACTGCACAAAGACGAAAGAAAATACCTTGATTTGGAAAGTTTTCTGGGTGTTCCTAATTCCAACAGACTAAGCTTAATGTTTCCTTATATTTAGAAACCGTTCCAGACCAAGGGAAAGGATTAAACAGTTTAGGCTTCTTTTAGCTATTGTTTAAGTGCATGTACTTGCACACACACACACACACACACACACACACACACACACACACACACACAGAGAGAGAGAGAGAGAGAGAGAGAGAGAGAGAGAGAGAGAAAAGAGACAGACAGAAACACATATAGAGAGGGAACACAGACCTTTTAGATATAAAGGTTTTCAAAAAATAAAGATTTAATATGAAAAAATTTAAAGTAGAATTTTTTCTTAAGTAGTAATTTACTAAGACAAAATAGTTCATTCTAAAAATGCAAAGATAACTACCTATTAGAATTTGTTGTATTTTATTTTTGCTATAGAAAAACTATGGAGAGAAAATATATTCAGGCATCTTTCAAGTGGCAGAAAAACAAGATAGACTTTTAAATTCTGTCAATTAAATGAAACCTTAATAATCCATGATAAAAAGAATATTCTTAGCATACATACAACCTTCCAAACTAAAACCCAATATAGCTCATTAGTGCCAAAATACCATAGATGAACAACATAAGGATGCTTATAATCTCAACCATATTAACCAAGGCCATTCTGGAAACTCTGATATAGTGTTTCTTGAAGTTATTTGATGTAAAACTGTTAATGTTGCATGGAATAAGCTTTGGGAATTATTGTAGCCAATTTGGTAAGGCAAGAGATAAAAATTTAAAAGGAACATTTCTAATTATTGGAAATAAGCTAATATTTATGGATGAGAGTAATACACCCACACAACCCAAGAGAGTCTGTTGAAGCATGATTAGACAGAGCAAAATCCATAAGAGAGGTGATTATAAGAGATTTATCAAGAGGGAGCTTTCTCAAATACCAGCAAAATTGATTAGAAAATATAGAGAGGTAAAAAGGAGCTCATGAACTTCAATGTGTAAAAAAAAATCATTAAGTAGATAGAAACAAACAAACAAAAAGAACTAAAAGCATAATTTCCCTTATCCATAAAAGTCCATTTGAGTAGAACAGAGATGGTATTGTCCCTGAGTAGAAAAATTCCACATTGCTATAGCTACAGTTGTATCCAAGTTCATTTGAGTTTAATTCCAATAAAATTGAAAATACCTTGACAATTCATTTATAAACCTCAACTCGAAGAAACATTAGAAAAATATGACTACTGCTATACCTGTTTGCTGGGATAAGAACTTACAGTAGTGGTTACAATATAGTGTAGACAAGCATGATGCTATTATTTCTGACAGGAGAAACTAGAAAGTTCTTGGGCACTAGCAAATTAAAAAGAAAAGTCGTTGTAAATGGGATTTGTTTATTTTTGACAGAGTATGTAATGGCCCAGGCTAGCCTTGAGCTTGTTATCTCCCTCATCCCCCAGCCTACAGAGGGCTGGAATGATGAACCTGTAACAACCATGCCTGGCAAACATTTGTCCCAAGAAAATAATCAGAGATGCCCACAAAGAATGCCCACGTTTAGATTTTTAAATGATTAATAAAAATTTGAAATGACTTGTTCACCGGTAGGTAGAAGACTGGAAGGTTCTGGAAGTCCATATGGTAGTTACCGATGTGTTTTAATGACAGGGATGTGTTCACATTTGTGAAAATGAGACCAGATTAAAAATAGAGTACAGACAGATTGTTAAGCCTACCTCCTGCTACTGCACCTTGTGTGGGTGGCTTCTTTGCTCCAGCTTTGCTGTTGGGTTTGATGGTGCTGTTATTTGCCTCCTGACATTTTGTCAAGATCAAAAGAGAAGGAGCAGGTTGAGGGCTGATCCCAATGTCTGGCACATGCTAAGTCCGATAAAGTGAGTCGGGGGAGAGGCTGCAATCCATGTATTTGATTAGGAAGAAAATGTAGAAGCTCATGAAAGCGGCTTATCTCTGAAACAGAGGGTTTTCCTAGTAATCACTTGTTTTCCCTCATGCTTTCTGTAGTTTCTACATTTTCTGCAATGCGCCAGACCTT